CACTCTTTCACCAGCTATTCAAGAGAAAGCACGAGAGTTTCCATTATAAACCCGAAAAAAACAAGGTTTTCGCTTCAAGACCAACCGTTTCTACTTCAGTGTTAAAAGACGGGCTTCTCATCCTTTTTGGCAAAAGGCTGTAGCACAACTTGGTGTAACCACCGCTGGCAGATACGTTCCCAGAGTGCTGGGAGCCTGATAAGTTCAAAGGTTTCTGCTATCAGACCCCACTCTTCCCAGTCAGAGTCAAAGGGCAAGACCACATTCAAAGAGAACGCAAGGAAACAAAAAAAAAACCCACCCCAAGCTGTATTTTATACATGTTGTCCAAACAAGTGATAAGGGGTTTTCTCCTCCAACTAAATACATTCTATAACGCGCATACGCAAACCTGGATACTTTTGCTATATCCTAACATGTAAGACATTACAGCTTTTCGGTCAACGATCACAAGAAAGTCAGGTTTTTAGTGGGGGGTCAAAATAATACAGATCACAAGTACAGAAAATTGAAGACAGCTTATAAAGGGTCCCAAACACAAAGCTTTTCCTTGCACAAATTTGCTTTTTCCCACTTGCACTTCAAGAGCCTTCCCAAACATCCCAACCAAAAGCAGGGGCTGCTGTGAAAGTGCAGTCTCCCAACGGCTCCAAATAAAGGTTGTTCCTTCAAAAGGGCTTTCGGGGATTGCTGGATTTTGCCTTGTTACTCTAAAATACCACTGTGCTTAATGTGCTTAATGAACTCGGACACCTAAAAGAATAAGGTTATACTATGTACATTTAAAAAATTGAGGAGAAGTTCTCTAAAAATACGCTCTTGAGTATCGCAAAATGCTCCATCTGCTCAGGCTTGAGGAATACTTCTGAGTTGTGCTGCAGCTTGCCAGCAGAGGAGACCAAGCTAAACCAGGCTTGTGGCAAAAAAACCTAAAAAAACTAAAACAAAAGCCCAGCCCTTCCCCTCAGCTGCTGGTCTTCCCCCCCGAGAACTCCACTCGTCTCCTCTGAGGACATGCAAACAGCAACAAATCGGATCTGCTGGCAAGGAACCGGCATCAGACGGGCCAAACAGTAAAGAAACTGCACAAAGGGAGACAGGACAGGATGGGAATGCATGCTAGGGAAGAAACCAGAGGAGCTGAAGAAACCAGAGGATCTGCTGAACCTCAGAATCCATACAAGCACTAATTAAAGCTTGTATTTACAGGGGGGGATTCGGGCATCAAAACGAAAACGCCAACAGAGCCTCACAAGACGGCTCGTCTCTCCTACGTGACACCAGCAACGTTCAGACGTGCCACAGAAGCCGATGCCCGCGCCGTGCGAGCCAAGAGCGCTATCGCTGGGAAGAGAAGGAAGCGGCTTTTCTTTTTGGAAGAAAGATCTTTCATATCGCTACCGATCTCCTGTCCTCCGAAATCTGTGCCACTGGAAGGGCGAATGCACCGAAAGCAGGTAAGCAGACAAGTCCTACAGAGATGACTAACGCAGCTGAAGCCAGCATGCTCTAGAAGGTATTTTTAAGCTTGGCTGCCACAAGCACGAGAATCTCTCCGATCTTTTTCTGCCAATTCTCTATGTCCTTGGAGACGTCACACCAGAGCTCTCCGTGGCGAGGTTCAGCGTTCTCACAGCGCTTCCTCACCTCTTCTTGTTGTTCCTACGAGGAAGAAAAATGACAGTTTGCAAGTCTCTTAATTCCCTGGTTTGTTCCAGCGCAGAGCCAAAAATTTAACAACCCCCTCCCCGATGCAAACACTCTTCCAAAGCTTACGGTAGGTTTTTTGTTTTGGTTTTTTTAAAGGCAGTATCGAAGCCCAAGTCAAAATTCAGTGGCAGCAACTCTCCTGCCTTGCTGAACAAAGCGACCGAATTACAGTCAAGCTAAATTTTGGCTATAGCAGAGAAACTGCAGCAGAAACTTCCTTTGCATTATCACCTGCATGAGATCTGTCAAGTGAGAGAGGTCTCTGAAGTCAGAGGATAAACACTCCCATCATTTCAGTAATATCAGGCAGTAAAAACTGCCCTAAGAGATTAGAACAGACTGTTCCTCCAGCTGTGTTCACGTGCAACCTGTACTTGACACTTGTGAAGAAACGGGACTAGTTACACAAACCCAGCATTGCAACTACAGGAAAACGTCCTACGAGAAAGCTTGCATTCTACAGAAAGAAGATTGATTTCATAGATTTTTGCACGAACTAGCATGACTGCGAACAGCAAAGCAGCCTGAAAGACAGCTCAGCTAACGACAGAGCCTTTTAAAAACCACCACGCAGGCCTGTTCATGCTCATTCGTGACCAGGCGTGACAGCCATAGCCTCATCTGCGAGCCACGCAGGCAGCGGCGCCGGCAGCGTGCTCAGCCCGGCGCTGCAGCAGTGCCTGCGACCGGGTAACCAACATACTTTTCTGCTGCCTTTCCAGGCACGCGCTCACCTCTGTGCCATGCTGGAGCTCAAATTTGTAAAAGAAAGCCCAGGCGTCCCCCAGGTCAGAGTCGATCTTCACTGTTCGGTGAAACCACTCTCTGGCCTTGGTTATTTTACGCTCGCTCCAGAACAGCCTGTTGAGAAAAGCAAAAGCGAGTCGACGAATAGCCTCTTTAGAGGAACGTGCCAATCTGCAAGCACTCCAACTTGAAGGCTCTACAGATATTTCAATTCTTTGCTCTCCCAAGAAGGAAAGAGCAGATTTCATAGGCATCTGCTGACTGTCCTTCCCCTGGGAAGGGAAGAGATAAGAGAGGACTGAAAAGAACATAGAATCGTGGAATCATAGAATCGTTTAGGTTAGAAAAGCCCTTGAAGATCATCCAAGTCCAACCATTAACCTAACACTACCAAGTCCACCACTAAACCAATGAAGGAGAGAGTAGTAATTTCATATTTCCTGGCTTGGTGGCTGGATTATTTTTTAATGCAAGTAAAAACTAGGAATCACTAAGGTTGGAAAGGATCTCTAAGATCATCAGTCCAACCATCCACCACTTCCTCTCCACTCCCCCCCAGCGAAGCAGATTCACTTGGCCCCACGAAGAGACATACGCTCCTGAGAAGGGAAGCGTGACTCTGAGCTCCATCTTTGCTAACTCAGTTGCTTAATTTTGCTGTTCCAGATTTGGCGTAGAAAGAGACAGGATCCTACGCCTACATGTATTTCCCCTCCTCCAATTTCTTAATATTTCAAGTCGATTTTAGCATCTAACAAATAAATAACGTCTAAAAGCTGAAAATTGCATGCACGTTCCTGGAGCCCCAGCCGTGTGCAGTCACACGTTCGCATCCGCCAAGCAAGTTCTAGTGGAGCAGATCTACACCTTGTCAGCTCCACTTTACGAGGAAAGGCGAGCGCGTAAGCTTCCCCGCTCAAATCCCAGCCTGGCACCCAGCCCAACTGCTCCCATTTCATAAAGGTGCTCGTGAATTCTGAAATTTCTCCCCAGTAATTAACCAGCTGAGTCAATAGTCTCTTGGTTTCACTCCTTTGCATTAAAGAGTTCATTTGAGCTGGTAAGGTCCTTATCAAGTCAGACAGCCATCCCTCATAAAGAGCTTAGCCTGTCATAAAATTATACAGCTTATGTGATTGTTTTTAAGCCCTATAATACTCTTGATTGTTCCGTGTTAAATAAACTGTAATTTAAAAGATCATGAACAGTGATAGCAGAGGCTTAACACCTGCAGGTAGTGGCCATTTTCAGCAACATGTTTAACAAAAGTTTTTCAGAGATGTGTGACACTGTGGCACTACTGTACCTACATGCAAGACGTGATGGGAGGTGGAAGCTGTTTGTGTTGGGATTAGCTGCTAAACTGTCTGAGGTTGCACCAGAAGGGGCCTGGAAGAAGTTTCCGTAAGGCAAAAGTTAACATTTTTCTCATTTGCTGCTAAAGCTGAACAAGTCAGCTGTCATTATCTGGCAGAACCCAGCGTTGCAGTCACTGGAGTGTATCCTACAGTTTTCTTTGGCTTATAAAAAAGAGTTGTGAAAGAATTGGGCAACTGTTTGGGCAAAACGTTTCCCGTGTTAACCTCTTCTGGTATTCACAAAGGAAGAAAAGGAAGTTTGTTCCAATCACGACTGCTGTAGAGCCATTCACACATCAGATATGAAAGGATATGGCGTGAGTCAATTCTAATAGCGATTTTTCATCACTGGAAGCCTCGCAACTCGATCTAGACAAGACAATTCCTAGTAGAGTATCTTCCCATTTCAGAGAAGCAAACTACAGTATGACTGGTGGTCTACATTCCAGGAAGGGCCACAACTGAAGAGAAGTGACAAAGCAGAAATTCAGGAGGGGAGGACTACAACAGCACAGAATATAGCTCAGGATTAAAAAGAAAAATATGACAGAATCTAGGACAGAGAGAAAAGATGAAGTGAGCCACGTAAAAATTGAAAAATAACCAGCAAAAGTTGTCCCTGTTTTCACAAATACTTAAAACATACCCTAAAAAGCTTAAATTAAGCCTAGTTCACCTGAAAGCACACTGAAATCCCTTTCGAGGGACAAAGAGCTAGGAATTTTCAGAGTGCCCATACCCAGCACTGGAGGAGGACTCCGTGTGAACGTATTGTTGTCTGTGCTGCAGTCCCAGGCCCACCAGAACAGCGTGAGGGCAGGTTGACATCCCCTGCTTCGAAGCAAGGGAGAGATCTGCACAGTTACTAGGAGACAGCTTGAGAGCTGTTACTTGCTTTGAGGCTCATTAGAGCTGCTGCAGCCAGAATCGTATGGTCACGCTTGAGTGCAATGTTTCATCATGGATGCAGCCACACACAGACACGGGTATTTTTACTACATCAAACGCAAGAACTCACTTGGCCACAGCCAACAGGACATGTGGGTCATGTTCGCACTTCTTGAGAGCATCCACACTCTTGGTCTTTCGTTGCGGTCGCGCTTCAAGGAAAATTGCCTCTGACCACAGGATTCCTTAATCAAGTCAAGGAGGAAGAGTGTTTAGCGTTATTTCGGAGATTAACCCTCCCCATCCTGTCATCAGGCCAGTGCTCTCTAACGCAAGCAGCACTGCTGCCCCCACCCTGGTGTTATCCATGCCCCAACCTCATCCCAGACTGCTCTTTCTGCATCGATACGTCACTCAGTACTTTGAATTTTTAGCTACCGTGTGCACCACGCTGGACCTTCAGTTCTGAACGTCTCTGTACCATTAACCCTGCTGCAGCTTCAGCGCTCCCTACGCTGGCGTGCGCTAACCCGGAGCTCATGCCCTTCAGATAAGACATTGCAAGCAGTGGAACAGGGAAGAGCAACTTGACGTTTCAAAAGCGAAAGATACCCATTTGTCTCAATGGGAAACTGCAGTGGCAGAAGTAGTCCCAGAAGGTGCAAAGGACACCGTTTGGAAGCAGTTTCAAGCGTGCCAGAGAGCATCACGGTCTTATTGATGCTGGCTCTCCACACGTACAATGAAGGACAGAGTAGGTCCCAGGAAAGCCAGGTTTAATCCCTAGTTCCTTTCACTGCAAAAAGCAAGGGAGGAAATATGCTCAGAGGAGCATGAAATCTTCGGTTTCTCCTGTCAGCCAACCATACCTGCTGACCACTTCAAAGCAAAGCCTGAAAGCTCGTGTCTGCCAGGACTCTATCAAAGTGCTCTTACTTCCCATAAACTGCACCATGGGAATATACACAAGCTTTGACGACTGCAGTGACAGACTGGAGCAGAACTCTTCTCTTCTTGCTCTTTATATATATAGGGTCAAACCACATTTTTCAGGCCTCTATTTTCAGGCCTGCTGAGGACACAAACACCATTATATTTCAGTTTTACTCTTTGTGTAGCCTGTCTACATCAGCCACAAGCAACCGGGAATCAATTCAGCAATCGATGGACCCAAGTCTCTGGTTTACATGACTGTAGGTGTCCAATGAGCTAATTCCTGCAGGCTTTTAGTTTGTAGAGTTTTAAGATAGAGTTGGGAGCAATTTTGTTTAAACAAAAACTGAGATCCTGCTGCCCATTTCCATAGCAACAGGCAGAATCTGTAAAAAAGCCTGTGGTGGCAAACACTCATTAAGCATTAGGTCATTCACAAAACAAATTGGGACTTGGGTGGTATTGCTTTGTTGACCCACTTGCATGGTGAGCTGCTTGCAATGAGTTTATCATGTCATAAAAGTCACTTAATTCCCAATTATTTCACTGGGACTTAAGCAGCCACCAATTAAACACCTTTCAAAACCTAGCCTGAAGGCAAGCTAAAAAGATTTGCCCTGCAGTAGACTACTACATTTTGCAGTTATGTGACATCTTCTCTCCAAAGATGTCAACATGTTTAAATAATTAAGTCTTCCTGGAATTCTGCCAGAAAATAGGGAAGCATTATGCACTTTCTCCTCCCATCCCAAGAGGCAAATGTTTCCACTGCTGGTTAGAACCAATTGACTTACATTATATGACCTATTAGCCTTTTCTTAAATGAGTTAAAATAATCAAAACCCAGGACAAAACATTTATGGTACATGATCCCCTAATCATGACCGCGACTGAAATTTGCTGCCAGCACAAGTTATTAAGCACACAGTCGTGCAACCAGTACAGGCAAACCAACAACGGGAAGTCTCCTATGGCCAGCTGTACTCCCAACGAGACAGGGAAAAACCCCATTCCCCATTCTTTTTCCACTGAACTTCCTAACTACAAACACTCAAGAGTCTTTCTTCAATTTTAAACTTTGGCAAACTTCTACCAATTCAGAGAAAAGCCACCCATATCCAAGATGCTTTCCCAGGAAACCTAGGAACAAACTGTGGACCACAGACCCAGTAATATACCGGATACTGCAGCGAAATGGAATGAACACCAACCCGTGACCTCTCTAGTGCGAGACAGCGCAAAGCAACCAGGATTATCCACAAAGATTCTCAACGTTCCATTTGCAGAAGGATGACTGACACCTCTCCAAACACACAGTATTTTGAGACCTGGCCAGAAAGGACACCTTGGAAAAAGATGTGCCTTTCTCAACTGGGCAAAACAACCGTGTTTCAGATAGAAATGAGATCCGGCTCACCTGAATTGGGGCATTCTTGCAACGCCTTGGCCATCAGAGTATTTGCAATATTCTTTAACCCAGCTCTGTACTCTAATCGCACAGACTCTAACCTGGTAAGGAAGAGACTCAGTGATGATATTTATGACAACATATTCACTATGTGGAAATAAACAGCAAGTCACATGAAGGTCACTGGAAACTGCAAACATCTGCCCATAATCTGAATATGTGTAAGTGACTGACATCCTCCCATTCCTCTCTGTCTAAAAATAAACATGACCTTTATTCTATAATGGCCTATATCAAAAACAATCTGAAAAAGGGACTATAACAGAAATGAAGGATCCCTGGGTTTTCATGCTCTGTGCACTACAACTATCAGTAAAGAAATAACTAGTCCCCAGCTCCTTAGAGTAGCTACATACTAGCCAGGATTACCAAAGCATTTCTGGTATTCAGAAAAAGTTGTTAGTCCAGAAGAAACTCTAGGACGGGCATGGTCATAAGTTCCAGGTTCAAATGGCTGAGAAGATGTGAAATAGCTGACCTGAAGAATGCATTGGCTTTGTAGCCCAACTTCAGTTCATCTCCACACAACTCACCAGAGATCTGGATTCTTTGGATTCTTTAGGCGAGACTTTTCCAAGATGGCTCTTGCTCTAGTCAACTGCCCAACTTTTTCCTCCAGCCTGGACAGCAAAAGCCACAGGGGTATGGAATGGGGGCACTTTTTCAACTGTATTAAAAAAAAAAAAAAAAAAAAAAAGTATGGCAATATATGTAGATTTGGGGTGGGGAGGAGGAAATCTTATAACCCCTACAGAAAAGAACTTCCCTCCCTACATCATCCTGGAGAGTTTAGAAAAAGAGAGACCAAGTTGATTACGTTGCTCAAATTTCTCCCAGTTAGTCTAACAGCACAGAACAGTACAGAAGTCAAGTTTCTCCAATATCCAAACCAGTCGGGTACATCAACTAACACTGAGCTACCCCAGTAGCAAGAGAAAAAATACACCTCCCTCAATAATACACCTACAATTTGTGCTCCATCTGGAAATGAAGGGCTCTTACACATAACCAAACCGCAGCAACAGAGTGTGCAGGACACGGACTGCCTTTGAAGCCCGGGAAGTCATTAGGATATCGACACTGGCAGAAACCCGCTTCCCTATTACTTTTACAGCTGACAAGTTTCAGAAGCATTCATACCCAAGGACAAGGATTACCATTTAAAAGAGACAGGAGTGCTCTGTAGGCCACCTCCTTTTACTGTGTGTATCTAGAGAGCTCGTTAGGAAGCCTTTCTTTTAAGAGTTCTGCTTTTAGTCTTCGAGAATTATTGTGCGATGACTTTTTTCCTACCAGTGGAGTCGTCAAGCATACAGCAAACTCTCTCAAGCAAGAAAGTGAATTTTGTACATGGATACTGAGTAAGAGAAATTCTTGCTGCTTATTTCAAGGTCCTAATTTTTTTTGTTTTGTTATTGTTTTCACCAATGACAGAGAGAACAGAAATTATCTCTTCGGTTAGTCTCAGACAGAGCCCTCTCCATTTGGATTCAAAGACAGACATCTCTCCACGCCAGAAGCGCAAAGCAACCTTGCAGTAACGTACACCTTACCCCTTGATTATAAGCCTCCCGTGCTTTTTCTACCAGCTCCTTTTGTTCCTCGATTTGTCCCTTCATCATCCACAGTTTGGGGAAGTCCTCGTAGTGCTTCAGGGCTTCCTCACAAAGCTCCTGGGCTGCAGCAATGTTCCCAAGCACCCACTCTAACTTCACAGACTTCATGAAGACCTGAGAACAAACCAGAGCTGTTTATCACTAGGAGCCACTGAAAAACCATTACTCCATCAATGCAGTGGGTTCCCACTTTCATACATTCATTCGGATGTTATTGATTAGCTATAGTTGAAAGTAAAAAAAAAATAAATACCGGGGTTAAATAACAGTGGGAACAGATAACAATGAGAAAGGTAAATGCAAATATTAAAGGAGTTGGAACACCGTGATCAATCTATGTCTCACCTGTTAGCACAGAGTTGACATTTGTGTAATATTTGTACAAAGAGCATAGCTTTAAGGGCACAACCAATTAACAAATTTGAGGCTGCTTCATCAGCGCAATCTGATCTCCTTAGATCCAAGCTACCAAGACCACCTGTTCTTACTTAGGGCTTCAAGTTGCAACTGTTACCCTGCTAATTACAAACCAGTAGGTATACTTTCCTGCCTACACATGGAAGTTACAGCTGTGAATTAGAGACTGAAGGCTGTTGCACTACTCTTTGATCCCCGTCCTCCACATTCCCAAACTCCCCCCACTATGACTTCGCAAGCGAGGCACCAAGTCTGAGACCAGCCCCGGCTGCCAGCTGGAGAGAAGCTCCCTGACTGACAAAAGAGGAAGAGGACGGTGTAAAAGATCTAGGGTGAAGCACAAATTTGGGGGCAAGGGGGAAAGCAAACTCATTTTTCTTCTACTTGGACAAGTTCAAATGGTTCTGTATGAACAGCTGAAAATCGACGAAGTTTATCATACCAGAAGTAAATCTAGAGATAAACACAAGAGTGTAACTTTAAACAACAAACTCAACCAGCGCCGTCTTTAGCACAGCGAGCATAAGTGAGTCTTCTGTGAAAGTATTTTCTCTCTCTTTTTTCCAAGACATGCTTTTATGCAACACGAACATTATACAAACAGCTGTAAACTGGGAATTTCCTGACTTTTGCCATTTGTGTAAAAAAACCCGAAACCCTTCACTTGATCCTAGCCTTTTTTTTTCCCATCATGCCGTGACTTTGTGTCGCAATTCGCTGGAGAAGCGCTGCAGCAAAGCGGCCACATGCCTGCAAAAGGCAATGGCAGGGAGCCATCTGGTCAATCACGAAGGCCACAGAACTGAAGGAACTCCTCCTTCCGCCTCAACTCCCCCATGGCCAAGAGAGGTCTCAGCCTCTCCACCCTTCACACATCCTTACCCTTGCAGTGGGGGCACTGCTGCGAGCTTTTGCCAGCAGCCTCCTTGCTCTTTCATATTCATTGTTTTCTGACTCGAGCTTCACGGCAGCCAGCCAGATCTCCTCGCTGTTGGGGTTGGCCTGCAAGAACATAAAATGACAAATGCATACAGTGAATCAACAGCAGATTTAATCCTTCGTTTGATCCAGATTAAAATTGAAATCAGAGCTTTGTCAATCCACACTAGGATTTTTTTCAGTTCAAGCTCCTCCCTATCTTCTTTGACCTTTGAAGTTTATAGAAATTCTCCAAAACAGATGCGCAACACAAAGATATATGCCAGTTTAGAAGTTGGATGCTTCTCAATTGTTGAAAAGCATTAATGCTTGATCTTCTGAACTTCCAGTTTAAATACTGAAAAGATCACAGGGAATGCCACAACAAGACCCTCCTTTTATTATCCCTGAGCAAAAAAACCCTGAAGCTTGCATTTCCCAGCTGAGGTCTGTGAACACTCCTTCAATAAAAGCCGTTTCAGTGGCAACCATGTCAAAAAGTCTTCAGGATGGTAACAAAAAGCACCAAGAACACATTTAGGAAGTAAATATCTTTTACTTTCCATCTCAGGACCTGTCATTTGTTTTTGCTATCACTTAGCTTTTAAGCCTCATTCCCAGTGTTAGAACTGTATCACTCTGCCCACCTTTCTTTCACCATCCAGCAGACAATTCCCTTCATTTTTCTGTGGATTAGTGGGTTTGGTCCGAGCCGTAAGTAACACAGTAACCTCTTTACGTAAGGCAGACCACTACCCTTTTTACTGAGCAGACAGACGACCCGACACAAGGGGATTCAGATCCATGACTGGGGTTGGTGGGAGCCACGGTAGTAAAATTAATGGTTCATGAACTTAGAACCTGGTGTGGTACTGCTAGAAGAGCAGCAATACACTCTTGCTGCCAGCTTGCTGCTATTTTACAGGAGAACATTTTGCCACATAAAACAATCAAAGAACAGCGGAAGCCCCCCTCATTTTGAAAGGAAGCAGGAATCAGGTGTTGACAGAAAAAGCCTACTCTGTACTCTTTACCGGGCATACTTAACACCATCACACAAGTCTAACACACCCACCTGGAAAGCCAGGGCCAAAATGCTTCTGGCTGCTGGCACATCTCCTGCCAGCCACTTCGATTTGGCTCCCATGAGCCAGAGCACTTCTGCTTTGGGACAGTGAGCAACAGCTCTCTGCAAAAGAGCCTCCAAGGATTCTCTGAGACAAGAAAGAGCAAGTTACAATCCCTTGAAATACTGCCAAAGGCGAGCTCTCACACACCATTTCCACTATCACTCAATGTTATAAATATTGTTGCAAAGTCCAACGTTGTAAACCTTGATAAGTTGTTTCATAACAAGGAAAGGGTGGGGTCTTTTTTCACAAGGGTTCTGAAATCAGCGCTCCACAAACGGCTCATTGTTCAGACACCTTTGTTTGATAGCCTCTGCGAAAAGACCCTGCACACAAACAGCTCATTTGTCTTGGAAAGAGCCATTCTTCTTAACAAACCTCAGTAGGAACTGAGACAGGAAGTTTTTCAGAATTATTAGATGAAGCTGGCTTGATCTGACTGAATTTTTTTTTTTCCCCCCCTCGTCTGGAAAATACACTTTTCAGGTAGAACAAGGGGCTTAAAAGACAGCCACCACTGGGAAACATGGGAGAACAACATCAAAAGCAAAGATATTCTTGTTCCAAAAAAAGGCCTGAATGAGGCAGAACTCGGCATCTGCAGTCACTTCCACACAACAGCTTTGTTAGCTTTAATAAGACAGAATCCACGCACTTAAGTGGTCTACTGTATAGACTGTTTGCTTTATTCTTTGGGCAGAAAGTTTCAGATGTGTAAAGCTTTATGAATAAACTTCAAAATACGAGGCCGGAACTGTGACAGTGTATCACCAACCTTAACACAGAATGTGATACACATTCACAGTATGTTTAATCAGAAAATGCCAGAGATGCCTGGACAACTTCAGCGATGAAGTAGTAGATCTATGAAAACGAAATTAAACACATGCTGTATTTTTAAGTGATTTGTATTCCCAATTTTTTTCTAGAAATGCCTTCTCAAAGATAACTGTCCCCACCTTGCTTATTCATAACCACTTTAACCAAGTAACCCCTCTTGCCAAAACAAGTTATGATTTCATAAGAACCAAAGATGTTCCGACCACAACAATAACAAAGAAGGTCAGACCTGCAAACAATGCCAGCGAGTTTCCACCCGCTGAACTAACTCTGCACGTGCAACACACCACTTCAGGGATCATCTTGTAGCTTTTCTTCCTCCCCAGTCGATCACCCTGTAACAAGGATGAACCCCTCCACCCAAGGATTATGCAGCACACATACCTCGTTCCATGGTTCTTTTCGAAGTACGCTGCTCGCAGCCACACGCTCTTCTTGCTCGGGAAAACTTGCAAGGCATAGGCATAAATTGCCCGGGCACACTCCAGAGCATTGTGAGCAACACACTAAGGAAAACCAGATCAGAACTAAGTCAGTTTAGGGTTGCACTGAAATCAAACGCAAGAAAGAATTACACGTGCATAATTCAACACAGAACTCAACAACTCAGAGTAATACATGAATTAGGGCATTACACATAGCAGAACAGTTACTATCAGCTTTTTAAAAGGAAGCAGGGAAGAAATTTTCAAGTGTCCCTCTATCAGAGCACAAGTATCACTGGCCTTTCACCGGAACTGACACACACAGGCCAGCTTGAAAAATTAGCAAGGCATTGTAAATGCTCTCGTGTTTGCACTTCATTTGTTTTTTATAGGCAAAACTATAAGCGCCCCAGCATATGCCCCCTTACCACTGTAAGGCCAATTCAAGGCCAGTGAAGCAGACATTTCTCATGCTGAAATATAATTTAGTTTTTAGTGCATGTTCAAACTACTCCCCTAAAGCAAAGAAAGCCTGGTAAAACTTCTACCCTCTCCTCTGTCCAGTCGTACATTAACTCCTGAGTTGCAGTGTTTACGCCTCGAAACTCAACCCCCCAGTTCCTTTAACCAGACCTCAATCTCTGTTGATATCACACACACAAAAAAACACCCCAAAACAAAAACCCCAGCAACCAATCTATCCCAACACCAGCTTTTTGCTTAGTAAAAATTCAAATCTGAAGAAAGCTCCACGATACAATAAGCTGCTGAGAGGCAGACTGGCCAAATGCAGGCAGATGTTGTGGGAATCGCATCCACTTCCACTGATAAAAAAATGTCATTTCCCAGGCTCCAGTTCAATTTCCCCCAATTAAAAAAAAAAAAAAAAAGAAACGAAACAAACAAAAAAGCCCGAAACCCCAACATCACAGCTGGGCATACACTGTCTGCGTCTTCCATCCAGGTGTGTTTCCGATCTTCCTCCTCAATCCCAATCCCAATCACAGCTCGCATGATTGCCTGGCATGTGGCCACACTTCCAGCTTTATCACATTCCTCAGCATCCTAGAAACAAGCGTAAAGCCCCGCTCATTTTCAGAAATCAGCACAAGAAGTTAGATTCTGCAACAGCAACTCCTCATGTGCAAACACAGAGACATTGTGGCTCACTGCCACATTAAAAATATCTTATTACTCAAACATATCCTGACAGTAACTATGAGCCTACAACCACAAGGAAGGTGCTGTAGTTGTACATACAATCAATCAGAAGCTGGTTAAGAAACAGAGCACATCACCTGCATCCACTGAAAAGGAGTAAGTGTGACAATGTGTGACCTTTCCAGCCTGAAACGTCTCCTCTTACAGCCCCACTGACCTGCCCTGGGCTGGGCCAAGCAGGGACCTGGCCAATAAAAAACTGCAAGAATTTCAGAGGGAAGAATTGTAACACCAAAACCACTGATCTTCTTTCAGCTTTGGGTTGATTCTTAAGTCTCAACAGGGCTAAGCAATAACTGAATTTAAATGAATGCATCCTCAACGGGTGTTAAGTTAAAGGTGCAAAGGCTCTCTCACCAGAGCATATATGGAAAGGTGGAGTTTTCTGACATACAAAGCTTTTGGAAAGCCAAGCGTGTCTTGCTTAAACTTGTTAAAAAGGGCTCTGATCAGATAACAGAAATGGAACAGTTCTGGTACTGAAAAGGAACTCGAGAAGACAATGATGCCAAGGCTGCGGTGGTGTTTTTTTTAAACAGAAGTTGAAATTAACCCTTAATTGTTTTACTGCTGTAAAAAAAGTTATAATTCTTTTAGATATTAGAAAAGATACCCATTTAATATTAAACACTTTGTTCATTATCAATACTCTCTTAAACAGCGTGCCAAGAACATTTTGCTGCCTTGACCCACTGTGAGTGATTTTAGTAGTTAACTGGTTTAAAGACTTATGCTCAAACAAAGCACAGTACATATTCAGGAGGAAAGAGGTTCTTTTAACCCGAACACCAAGCCGTTTAGATGGCAACAGTCTCTGAAATGTCTCCCTAACTCAAGAAACTCAAGCACCGCAGCTTTTGAATTTGACCAAAACACTGGAAACCCCTACAACTTTTTGCTACTTTTCCAGTACAGAACATCAAAAATACGATGACCTGGGATGAACCTCCAGAGATTGCGTTTTGTAAACATCACCGTACACCACAGCTCCACGTGCCAGCTGTGACTGGTTCGCATAGCCTCAGGACTACAAGCCAATAAAGGACTAACAGAATGTTTCCTGCCTGCTGCATATGCAATATTTGTATTGACTTCTTACAACACTATCTGACAAAGACTTCTTTGGCAAACAGATAGCTTTTAAGCCAAAAGAGACATATGCAAAAAATACATAAATCCCTTACTGGAGGCTTAAAGCCTCTGTCCTACTTAAGGCAGCAGCTGCTTCAACTTGAAGCTGGTTATCTTCCAAGACAGAACTAAACCAGACGTTCCTCAGCTCACCACATGCAACGTTACCCCAGAGTATCACCTAACCATGCCCTTGGCTCTCCTCAGCTTTTTAGTCTCACCTCTTGTATTTTCGTGGGGCTCTCCACTGATAAGCCTAGTGCAAAATTACTCTATCCTACAATATCTTGCATCAATAGCCTTCAAAACAGAACCTGAAGAGTTCAGCTGGGTCTCTAACCAAAGACCAAGCAAATACCTGTATCCATTGCTCTCTGTTGATTTCCACACCATTAGCCCTAAGAGACGTGATGGCTCTGTCAATGATTTTCTCCACCATCTGGGTGTTCCCATTGGCTTCCTCCAGTTTGGCAGCAGTAATCCAGATGTGACGATCCGTTGGAATATTCTCACGGGCTTTGTTAAGGACTTTACGAGCATTCTCATATGTCTCCAGCCTTGCCAGCGCAAGCCACAGCTGCAGAGCAACAAAAGATGTATTTTAGATTAGAACAAGGAGATGACAACACCGCCGTATGGCAGGTTTGGCCCAAAAAGATAAGCAGCTTTATGCCGTTCGCTACTAGTTGGCAATTGTCCTCAAGCAGCATAAGCAGGCTGCAGAATACCAATGGAGAAGTGGCAGAAACAAAGTCTACTGCTGTCTCTGTAAAGCTCAATCGTAATCAAGATATCATCTCCGTTTGCTGGGCAGCTGCACTCCGATTTTCTGTCCACATTACCTTTTCAACAGCTGAATATTACACTCCGATTCAGCATTCCAGAAACGAGCAACTATATTTTAGGTTCCCTAGGCTATACGTATGCTTGTTTTCACAATTGTCAAGGCACTAAACATGAACACGAACATGGCTAATTGGCTACAGCAGGCACAGCAGTACACTGGCATAACTAACGTAACAATTACACAGGAAAATGAGGCATAATGACCACCAGACAATTAACTCTGGAGGAAAAAAGCACAGTCCACTACTCATCACATCCTTCTCATTGTGGCAGAGAGTGCGTGGTAGAAAACTCATACTGCACTTATGCTGCCTTTTGTTTTCAAAGCTCTACCGCCAACCTAGAGTGGTGTGTAGGGGGTTGCTTTATTCTCCTTTTTTAAAACTTACTTCAACGCTAGTCGGACAGCACTCCACAGCCCGACTCAGCATGATCCTGGCATCCTCTGGTTCTTCTAACTCCACGGCTGCTTTCCACAAACGCACCGAATTTGGAACGTGCTCAAGGGCTAGAGGCGCAAAACAATTACGTCAATCATGACAAAGTAGTTTACTAAAGAGAACTCTATTTTTTAAAGATGATATATTAAAGGCTTTGTCCTATTACAGGTGAACTTTCCTGAAAGAGAGAAGGGAGGGAACTGTACTTACATTAGTTCTTGCTTCAACAACGAGAATTTAAATCAGAAAATAAAAAACTTACTTAACAATTTTAATTGGAAACAGGTTTTGGAGAGACAAGGGCTTTTTCCCCTGCACAAGCTGTAATTGCATCTTCTTCAGTAAAACACCTAGCTGAACAAAGCCTCCAGTCTCAGCAAATGAGCATAGGTAGGATCTTCAAAATTGGGTAGCCTAATCATGTTCGATCTCCCTTTATAAAAAAGAAGCATCTTCAATACTAACTAATAACACAACCTTGTTCCTTAGATGTTGAAACTGTCCCTTCACAATTTAGTCTTCCCATAGGCATCTCCTGCAGCCTAACGGATCCCAGTTTAGCTTCCCAAAAAGTTATTGGCCCGCTATGCAAAAATAAAAGAGGAGGATGCATAAAAGCTTAAAGGTATTGCTGACACTAACACCCTAAGCCACTGAATCCAAAGCGTTCTTTCAGGAATCCAATATGGGCTCCATCTAATTAAGAGTCTTTGAGGCTTCCTTAATCTTGTCCAAGAGTTACCTACCACTGGTAGAAATTGCATTCTCCACAGACTATATGTGCTGTTTGAAACATTCAAGTCTAAACAGCAGCTTTGCTCAGTCTGTCTCTTCATAACCTTGTATCTTAAAGATACACTAAGAAACTAAAGTGTTTTTTTTTTCTTTTTAGCTTTTTGTCACTACAACTTACACCACAGATTGCTAGTATTAGCTGCATTGCAGTACTAGTTTCATTGCTTCCATGGTGATTGTACACAAACGTGCTATAGTAAGAGAGGACTGAGCACATCCTTCTTTAATAAAGCAAGCATAATTGCAGGGCTACAGAAACGGGTGGGAAGAGGCATCTAAATGTACTTTGAAACTAGCTAGGCTTCCAGGCAAGGCTGTTGTTCTGTAGGCGTCCAGGCAAGGCTGTTGTTCTAATCATTCCTGCAAAGGCAGAGGCACACTGCTGAGCCTCCACTTCAGAGCACACCCCAGCTCTACGGAAAGACACAGAGCATTTACAAGTAGTGTGCACCGAGGATTCAGGCATTAACTGTTTCTCCTCGAGTTCCTCCTGCAGCAGCAGGAGATTTTTCTGAAGAATTTAAGTGAATAATATCAGCCTGCAAGAGCTGAAAGCATCACTCAGCAGGACAGAACATGTTCTCATAGATAGAGCATTCGATTTTTACACCTCAAGACGCATTTTAAACACTCAGCTTGCTGGCTCTCGAGTGAGAGAGAGGCTTCAAAAACTCCAGAGGTTCTGCTGGATGAGGAATGCACACAGCCAACAGACGAGAGAAACACATTATGAAAGATCACACTTCAGTGACATTACCTGGCAGTCAGTCTTTTTTATTTTAGGAGAAATAATGGGTTGAACTGCCACTTATGTTAAGGCTGTATATACAAACAGCTCTAAGCATCATATTACTGATGTTCCCTAGGTAGCAGAGGAGCACTGTGAAGCTGTTAACAGGCAGAAATTGGAAAGAGAATGATAAATCACGTTCCATTGCACTAACAGCTTTCTATCAGAGACTAAGTAGGTGGTTCCAAAAACCGAAGCGAGATGTTTTTCTCTTTGCAAAAAACAACGTTTAAAGCAAAAGTCAGTACTTAATGCGTAAGTCACTGCTTTTACGCGAGATGCTCTCCTGCCCAAGCGGGACTCAGAAACCTATTTCTGCTCATGTAAGTGTTTTTCTGTTCAGCATCTATTATTGCTCTTGAGAAGACACACAATGTCACAGGAGCAACACTTCACAGCATGCTGCACTGCTCAGCCAACGAAAATAAAAAAAGCTACTGAATAGTTAATATCTGAACTCTTACAACTTCAAACCCAGGAACCAGAACCTTTAAGTGCCTTTCATCCATACGCAGTAAGAGGTCATTTCACCAGAGATGTGCAATTTTACATGCAATAGTAAGAGGTAGGAGGCAATTGAATTCCTTTGAAGCCAAGCTGTTCAATACTGTAGGCTGCTTCACACTGATTTAGTAAATGCATTAAATCCAGACACCTTTCCCGGTCTTGATTAAAGTCAGGAAGGATCTAACCTCTTCTGATACAGGCACAGTAACTTAAAGTAATCACAGAATTAATACTATGAACCTGCGAGGAAGACCTGGGTTCAGGACAACACAACAAACAGCTGTTAAAGAGATCATTGTTTGGAAAAGACAGTAATTCCACAAAAGAGGAAAACCTCCAAGTGCAATACAACAGAAGATGTAAGGTTTTAGGTAAGCACCACAGAGAAAAGCTGTTTGTCAAGAACACAGAACTTGCTAAAGTACAGCAAACCCCAAGGCCCACCAGGCTCAATGATATGAGAACCCCAAAGCCTCCAAAGCTCCTCCACCAGGAACCACTGTGGTCCCTAAGAGGTGACAGACAAGTTGGAACTCAAAGACCAAGTCCTGTATCTTTTCCAAAATGTATCACAAGGTGACAGTTAAAACACCCTTTTCTCCTTAGAGCATCATTTTTTAATTGCTTTCATCTACCTATCTAACTTTGATCAAGTTGGAATTGATTTTGGTAAGCGAAATGTCATTTTGCAATTGCTCAGTAACAGCAGCTTTCCACTGAAGGATGTTTTTACAAATACTTCAACAACCCTGCTCTTTGACTTAATAGCAGCAAGTTCTACCATTAAGGCACACGTTATTAACAACTGTATTTTCACCAAGGATGCAAAAAAAAGCACTTAAACTTACAGACATGTCTTGAACAACTTACAATGCAATACAAAGAGAGGGACACTCAGACTTTGTTCCCTGGCCCTGCAGAAGCTCTCACCTTTCCTAAGGACGCGTTTCTTTGCACGGATATCTGTTTCCAGCTCTGCTGCTCTTATATAGATTCGGACAGACTGTGGAAGGTGGCGGACAGCTTGGGCCACAACAGCCTTGGCTGTATCCCCAGGCTGAAGCCGAGCGGCTTCTAACCAAACATCTTCACTCTGTCAGGAGAAAGAAACAATCTTCCTTTACATCAAAACAAGAATTTAAAATTAGAGCTTCTAGCTAAATACGTGTTCTTTTAACACTGCAGATAGTAAAGCTGTATCAGATACAGCCTGATACAAGCTTAACGGAGAGATGCTGCTGCTCGTAACCACAACCTTCTCCTACTGCCCTGCAAGGATCAGCAGGGAAGCAAAGCGATTCTGACCTTGGGGCACATCTCCGTTCCTTTCATGATGAGGTTTCGAGCCACTTGGAGTTTGCCAGTGACCTCCTCCAGTCGGGCTGATGCTATCCAGGCTGGCGGATGATGAGGATTGGTCTCTCGTACAGATTTCAGGAGCAAACGGGCTTTCTTGATATCACTAAAGGAGGAGGAAAGACAGGCAGGAAGATTTTCAGCACGCTAGCAAACAATTCTCCTGAATCAGTAAGTGCTTTACAGTCAGTTCTTCACAGCCACGCTCAGATGCACAGTAACCGTGACCTCAAATTTTTCCATACTGGTGACACAAATTACATCCTACCAAAACAAGCTTGCAAATATACACTAACACAGCAAGATCACAGTGAAAAGCGGTTAAGCATTTAAGTAAGATTTTTAGGAATTACTGCTGGGCACTTGCAGTTGGAAGCTGATAAGCACAAGCATTGATTTAAGTCAAGTATTAGCATCAACATTTGCACACATCGCTTTTGACTTCAGTGGCAATTCTTTATGAAACAGGTGTCAAACTTCAAGTTAAAGATGTTTCCAGAGGTCGTCAATCAAGCCTAAATTAGCAGTACAGAAGGACAATTAACCAGGTTATTTCCTGGCTGGCAGGCAGCCACGCACTGCCATCACTCTGGCATGTTAGTCCAGGGATGGATAGAAACAATCCCCACAATTGATGCATCCAGGTCAGACGGTAAAAACAGGAGTCGAAAGACTATACCAGATCTCATGTTAAAAGAATTCATCCTCAAAAACTCACCTAGCATCTTTTGCAAATTAAATGCAAGCTGAAAGCCACCCGCTCAGACAGATTTCCATTTATATACAGGATCACAGCCATTACTAAGAGGATAAATCAGTTAATCCTTCTTAAACTTACTTGATATCTCCTCCATGTGTGGGAATCATCGAATTCAAGTCTGTCAAATATCCTTTCGGGTCCACTACAGTCTGGCCACTCACAGAGTCCGACACCTGGGAAAGTCAAGCCAGCACTACTGAAATGACCATTCATGGCCCCACAGGCTGCCTGCACACCTTAAAGGCTAGAAAAGACACTGCAGCTATACAAGAAACCTAGACAGTCATCTGTTACCAGAACCAAGGGGGGAAAATGTCACAAAGCCTTGCTTATTAGCTTTTTTCCAGTTCCAAAATACACGCCTTTAACATTAAAAATTTAGTACCACTGAAAAGGCAGAAAACAAGCCGCTTGGCTTTCAGTCACCAAAAGGTCTTGCAGCCCCACCAGCTAAAGTCCATCTTTTTAGTTTAAACCAGATTTAGATGGGAAAATCAGTGAAAAAGAACAGAAGTCAACAACAATTTAAGAGTAATATTTTCCAGCATTTTGTCCTGCATCCCTGCACAAGACAGAAGATACGCTTCCTGTGGTAAAACTACCAGTGCTGCTTGCCTGAAGTCCACCTCTGGTATAACAGGGCGGCCTGTTCTCCCATGCTGACCAAGACTTCCAGGGACAAACTGTTATATCTCAGGAAATTCTATTAGTGTAGAGGGCATGAGATTTGGGGAGGAGGAGTACAAAATTAGTTCACAGCTGAGCTGTTTCTTCTAACACGCAAGAGAATTAAAGACTTCTAAAACCAGGTCTTAAATAGCAACACAACACCAACCCCGGGTATACCTGTGACAGATCCTGCCTTCCAACATCCTTACCTGGCTTAGCCTCATATCCATCAACGTGTTCCTGGCTTGGCCAATCTTCCTCATATCCAATTCGCCTGTCCCAGGTGTCATTAAGCCTGGGGTCATTCCTCCCGGGTACGGAGTATTCAAGCCCCCTGGATAGGGAGTATTCAATCCACCAAATTGCTAAAAACGAGAGTGAGAGAAATACATTCCTAAAATCTCTTCTGAGATTTCAAAAATAATTCAGGCTGTTGGCTTATCTGCTCCTCTCCAGTGGCTACAGGACAGAGATGCCAAAACCCCATAGGTACTTCTGAAACACTGGCTTCCCTGAACCACAAAACATTTCTCCTACAGGTTTTGCAAATCTGTAGGTAATTACTCAAGTTCAGTCAAGTCAGTGAAATAAGTAGCAAGAAAGTGACAAATTCGAGCACAAGCATCTAAATCTAGCACATGTAAAGACGAATATCTACAAAGAAGTCCCACGGACATATGGTGCCAGTTCAGGGCCAGTTTCTCCTGTAACTCTGTGACCATAGTAGCCTGCAGCCTTGTAGCAACAAGTTAAATTATTTAATTTTCAGTTGACTGCAAGGCAAATAATTTTTAACACAATTGCTCCAGGGCTGAGCAAACCATTAGGTGAAACTGAACTTTACTTTCTGATCCATTTTTGCAAAATATTGTTGTAACAGAAGAGGATGTTGATTATGCTCACCAGAACCCATTATCACCATTCTACAGCCAGAGAAAAGGAAACAAAACACTTTTTCAACACAAGAACCAATATTTCCCTGCCTATCCATGAGTTTTGTCTGGCAATGGGTATGTACTGAAAGATTCTGGCAAGCGCAGGAATTTTACATCCAGCAATTCCTTTGACAGACTCACAAACTACACCAAGATTTTTAGTCAAGTGTCTTTTTTTCTCCACATCCCACTAACGAATGCACAGTTTAACCCTCATCTCTAATTATAAAGCACGGCTCACGTCTTCATCAGGTTTGCTTTCGTACTCACCGTTTGGCGCGGGTCCACAGAGGTGTGATTCTCCCCTGACTGTAAATGCTTTGCAAAGAAGCTGTCGGGTACAGGAGTCAGCTTCTCATAACGAGGATTCCTCTGGCGCTTGTTCCTGGCATCGCCAACTTCTGGAATACTCAGCCACTCTTCTTCCGTGACCTCTGCTAGCTTCCGCTATTCAAACAGGAGTTGTCATCATTATTTGCTGTAGAAATTTGGTCTTTTTAACTGCTCTAATTCCTTAATAGATATTTTTTTTCTTCTTGAAAGAATTCAAGATCAATTAAACACTTAAAGGTCAAATGTGAGATTTTTTCCTAATCCAATGTACAAAAGAATTATATGCATTTAATTAGAATTTGGTTTTAGTCCAGACTGAGACTCCAAGTCAATTTTGTTATTAAATTCAGCATTACAAATACTCAGATTAATCTCAGTGCCTGCAGCATCAAGAGGTTTCTTACTAATCATTAAACAATAGCTTAAACAATAAATTTTATTTAAAAAGGAGATTTAGAGTCAGGAGATCCTGTTCAACTACTACTCCAATGCCAACAAGTTACCAACCCCTCAAAGACGGAAGCGTAGCACCTTCTCAACAACTGATGTGAAGTCACAATGAAGCACAAAACAAAAGCCCAGTATAAAAATTTGCATTAATTTCACTACCTTGTGTATCCTCAAGAAAAGGGCTCACCAGGCAGAATCGCTGTATTCTCCCGTATCCCTACAAAGTAGCTTACAAACACCCACTTCCATCAGCTGAGTGCAGCTCTGAATGCCGCTGTCGGCAGAGACAATATTGCTTTATCACTTACTGCAGATTCTATCACCACTTTGATTTAAATCAGCACTGCCAATTATACTGCCGATAACCGGCTGAAAATTATACTGCACTACTCGAGAGAGCTTCAAACCGAGAAGAGCTTCTGCACCACTAGCTGCCAGCTTCATATTCGTTTACTTATTTTTCCAACAGAAAGCAACGCTAATCCAGAGAATAACAAAGTACCTGTTTGCTAACACACAAAATCTGAACAAAGAAATGCAGAACATACATCTAGTGCCCATATGCCATAAAGATAAAAGTCACATTTCAGGCAACATTTTTTTCCTTACTTTCAAGTCCGAGAACTGCTGCTGAATTTTGGGTCGTTCCATACGGTATTTTTCTATTTCCTCTTTTTCTCGTTGTTCCCTTAGGAAAAGGAGTACTGAGGTTATGCTCAAAGTAACAGTCAGCAAGTCTTTAAACAAAGTGTTGCTATTACAGAAAAAAGTGTTTGATCAGAGCTAAGGTATAAAAAACCCCATTTCTTCCCATGTTTAGATTAGCAACACTATGACAGAGATGTCTTATCAAATAAGACAATATTATATAGTGTAAAACCAGCCATCTCCAACCAAGTGAACTTCAGCCTTTAACATCCTCTTACCTGCAGACCAGGCAGTGAGTTTAACAAGTTAAGTAACACTCACCCATTTACAAGACACCTGCATTACATGACTTTTCCAACAATTTCCAGTGCACCGGGCAGTACGTGACGTGTCAAAACCAGTCACTCAGCATCTCCCCACATCATCTTAATGAACTACAGTGAATCTTAATTAACGAAGCAATTCAACCACATCAATTCTCAGAGCAAGTTGTGCAAAATACCCATCGTCCTTAAAACTTGGAGCCACAGAGTCAAAGGCACAGCGTTAAAACAAATAAAAACTGCGTACGCTTCTGAAAACGTACCCAGTAGGCTAGGACAAAATCTGAAATGGAAAATGGAAGAGGCAGAGGAAAACTCCAAAACACAAACTAACTGGAAAACACTCCACGCCACTGTTGGAATTTATCCTACCTTCTTTCTTTTCTGCGTTCATCCATCCTCTTATCCAAAGCTGCATAAATAGCGTCTGCTTCCTCATCATCTTTTTCATAGGGACCGCTTGAGAACAGGCTCCCAGCGTACCCATTGAACTAAGAATTTGGAGAGAGAGAGAGGAAAAAAAGAAAAAAAAAAAAAAAAGCAGTAACCTCAGTTTAAAGCTCCTCTGATGTTCCTGCTACAGCCGACAGTTACCCAGAACAACGAAAATGCACGAGCGGGCTATTTCCAACAACATTGCATCAGACTAATGCATCCCTAAATAAAAGCAGCTTTCTTCTACCACCCCTAGTGTTCATTCTCCCACACCATTTCAAAAGCAAAGCTGCTTCAAAATTGCTTCTCTTTCAAAATTGCTTCTATTAAGCAATAAATGAGATCCCAGTATAGAAAGGCCATTTTCTTCCATTAACCGCTTTTTTTTTTAAAACTACTGAAAGCAAACAAAAAGAGTAACACAGCATTTAACTAACCAAAGTGGGATTTAAACCCAAGAGACTACGCAGGCCACATAAAGACAAATATATGTCAAAGCACAAGAGCTTAGATTTCATTTGCGCAGGAGAATACAAAATACATCCCCCAAAGTACTTAAACTAATATTTTATTTATGGATCTCTTCCCAAGACTCTCAGGGCTCTGTATAGATAATTAAACCACAATACATGGACCAACGCCACAACAGAAATCTGCAAGCACTGTGCTATTATGTATAATAAGGTCTCAATTAAGAAAAAAAAAAAGAAAAAAGGAAGCGCTGCTAGCAAACTACAGGAAACTCTGGCCTTGAAACCTCAGCTAATATGGGGTTTCGTAGCAAGAGAGCAGGGAGCTAAAGGACTCCTCTTCTACTTGGGGAAAAACATCTCCAGGATGATGAAAATCTAATCACCTCATCATAATTGGTGTCGTTCAAATCTTCGTCATCATCGTCAGCCGTCTGATTCTTTTTCATTTGATCCCCCACAGTTCTCTTCCCCGGCGGAGCATGACGATCATCCACGGGGTCGTTGGCATCGCGCGCAGGGCCGATATCAGAGCGGGTGGTAAAACCTGTGGCTCTGCATTGACAAACCAGGAGCAGCTATTTAGCACACTGCAACCCCGCTGCTTGTTACACAGGGGGTCTGTCAAAATTATTACTTGTAACAGGCAATAAAAATATCATTCTTTTGCAAGAATGGCATCAGCCAGTGCCCATCCCTACCATGCATAGGGCTTGGGGGAAAAAAATGTCCTCTTATAAGGAGAACTTTATCGACAAAGACACTGCAATCACCCGGCTCACTGCTCAACCATCCATCTTGTACCACGACACATGTTCTCTTCTAAACAGTGTCTCTCGGTTAGACACAATAAAAAAGCTGGTCGTGCCTGTAAGGCACTACGGGCTGGGGGCCCAGGCACAGGGACAGGGCGCCAGGGGCTTGCCAGAAACCCCACGTTCAACCCGATGGTATTTGCCAGGGCACGGCTGATAGAATCACCCCAGCGTAAGGGCAGCAACACATCAGCAAAGGATGAACATAACTCACACCCAGCAAAGGGCAACTCCTGGTGCCCACCC